TGGTTTGGGCTGCATTTTCCTTCTCTGATTTGGGCTCATTTTAAGCAATGATGGTCTGCGTAATTCCTTAGCATGAGTAATAATCTCCATCTCTTTCATATTTTACCTCCTAGTTAGGAACATAGGGTCAGGGTGATTCCTATTACTTCCTATATTCATTTGATTAAAAAAACTGTTTGCCTTGATATCACCATTAGAAGGAAAGTTTACATTCTGCAGCCTTTATATATCTTTTCCGTACTGGCCATAGCATCTCTAATTTTGGCTCGAATCTGGACTGCTTTATCCCTGCTGGACTGTTTTATTCTTCATCCAGCAAAAAAAGAAAGGTGTAGGGTCAGCAGCAGTGTTGCCCTCCATTCAGAGGGATGTGGTGCAAGCAGAAAAAATTCTGGTGGGAGCTAGTGTCATACAGTGGCCTCAAAGATTGAGCTGAGAATCAGAAAATCTCTCATTCAAACCCTGCCTGTAGAGGTTGTGCACCTGCAAAATAGGTACCCAAATTCTGTAGGCTACCTTTGGTACAAATAAAACTGAGGAAGTTTAGCTCAATGCTGTTTTTGGGAGACATCAACAAGATGCCCAGCTAACAAAAATAAGGAGCTGGGAAACAAAACATATGCTCCCCCCTGCCCCGTGAAACAATTTTGTACCAGTTAGCTCAATTTAGAAGGTATTTTACAAGTTAGGATTTAATGTTCACTGGGTACTATGTTTTAAGAATAATCTTACAATTATTTCTGATATATAGGAGTTTAAACCAAAGTTGCAACCTTTTTAGTTCTGACAAAGTGCTTGTACCCTTAATAGAGTGTGGCAAACAGAAATTCAGCAGAAAAAATTCATCCTTTCCTGACCACTGCTCTTGAACATACTTCTTCCTGAGTCCCATCTCCTCTGCTAAGTCTTCTTCTTTCCATAGGTTATCCTACATTAGATGTGGCTGTCTCCTCAAGAGATGCAGGATGGAGAATGCAAAAGGACGGAGAGAGCTATATGATGAAGTTAAGGAGCAGGCACAGAGTGGGTGAGGATGCTAGAGGGTTTACAGCAGAGTTCTTTACCTCCCAATGAATGTGATTGTAAATTCATTGAAAATCATTCTAGGTTTTTATTACTGTACTTGTTGTAACCTATTTTATTGTGTAAGCCACCTTGGGAACCTTAATGCACTACAATGAATGAATGAAACAGATGAAGCAGGAGTGGAAGAACAGGAGACAGTAAGGAATCAGAGCTCGAGAAGGAATGGGAGAAGGAATGTTGGTTAGCCAGATAAATAGCAAGGAAGAAAGCAAGTATTCAAATGAAAAAAGTCAGCCAAGCCTTTTGATTACTCCTGAAGACACATTGAAGATGAATGAAGTAATTCTGGGAATTGATGCACTTCAGTGGAACAATGCAATAAGTAAGAGCTGGAAAGAGAGAGAAATAAAGGTGGAAAGTGTGGAGAGGACAGAATAACAGAGGGAACAGGGTTTGGGTGTGAGGGAAGAGAGTTTCAGAGAAAGTCACCATGGTGACACACTGCAGGTCACAGAGCAAAAACAATTGCTTCCTTGTATATATACCTATCTGCATCCTAAAGCCTTATTTGGAAGCCTTTGTCCAAAATTGGCTATTTAGTCATATTGTAG